TGTACATACAAATGAACTAGAGCAGCTAGAAAAAAAGAGAAAGAAAAAGGAAACTAAAGAGCAAATGAGATAGAAGTTTAGATGGCATTACTGGGGAACTTACTGATTTCGCGCATGCGCACTCCATTTTTGCCAACACTAACATCAAAGGTGCCGACAGAGAGTTGCGCTACTGTATATACTGTGCCCTGGATATCTCATATTACGATTTCCACGCCTTATAGCTTTACGATCATCAAATCTAACTTCTATAATTAAACAATTCAACATATCCCGTATTTTTCTATTAGTACGACCTTACTCTATCACTACATGAAGATTTTATTGCCAAATATTTATTTATTAAATAATAAACAAGGTTTAAATGCTCATCTCAATAAAACTTGAAGACATCCAAATTCTAAAATCTTGTTTTACAATAATTACAGGCATGATCTAATAATGAACTTTTTACTAAATAATTTTCAATCCAAGAGCAATAAATTCATAGTGGAACTAATAGATAGCGTTTATTAGTTTAGCAGAAGTGCTGCTATCTCATATTAGGCTCCTATCTCATAATAGGGGACTTTCCTCTATATATTATGAGTTCTGAAATTTTAACTTGACTATATCGTTAACATTTTATCGATAATGGGCGCGTTCACTTAACTCGCATCATTTCATTTTTATCGTTTTCAAATATTAAACAAGGACGAAATGATGCTCGCGAGCATTGCGAATGTTAAATGGAACGCACCCAATGTAATAAGCTAGAGAGAGAGAGAGGGAGGAGAGAGGGAGGAGAGAGGAAGGAGAGAGGAAGGAGAGAAGGAGGAGAGAGGGAGGGAGGGGGAGAAGGGAGTGAGGGGGGGGTGGAAAAAGAAATGAGAAGAGACAAGTTCAGATGGTGTTAGGCTGCGTTTCGTTATTCACTGTCAGTACTGACAATATTAAAGTAGTACTGCAGAAGCGTTTTGAAATTACTAATAGTACTTTTATAACGTTACAACGTTGCATAACGAAACGGATTCAATAGTACTTGGTAGGACTATAGAAATAAATAATTTTTAAAATTTTGATAAAATTTGGAATTATTAATTATATTCATATCTTTGCGTGCATTTTCTGCATCTACTTTATTCATTAATATGTCATAACTTTTTGACATTATTCGTTTCGACATCTAAAAAACAAATTTTTTCCTGATTTCCCATTTCGTTGAATTTC